GCACCAGCCCATGCCTGTAAAACACTAAACATGTAACACACCGATAGTGAAGCCCCCACAGTTCAATAATAAATGCGTGAGTTAAGAGTTATATTCACATCGGTAATATTTCACCCATTTAGTGACTAAAGCACGTCATACATTGATAATAAATCAAGTTATATTGTAAAATATGTCAACAAGGACAACAAAACAACTACATTATCACAGCTATAGATTTAATTTTTTTTTATTTAATTATGAAAGTTATATTTCTATAACCATTAATACAATACATAGAAACGGACTGTAGATCACCAGCAACTGAAGGTTGATCACCAGACAAGGGACTATAGGGACTTACAGGAGTGAGATAGTTTAGTTAACTTTAAATATAGTTCGATAGTTTGGCGATATGGTGGGTAAAGCGTTTGCTCGTCACGCCGAAGATCGATTACTCACATGAGTGCAATGTGTGAAGCCCATCTCTGGTGTTCCCAGCCGTGAAATTGCCGGAATATTGCTAAATGCGGATTAAAACCATACTCACTTTCTCCTGTATGTTGTAAGTGGTAATCGCCTATGAGATACATTCTATCGGGCATTACACAACGGTTGGCTGGTTTGTTGGTTTGTCGTGTAACGCCGCACTCAGCAATATTGCAGCTATATGGCGGCGGTCTGTAAATAATCAAGTCTGGACCAGACAATCCAGTGATGAGCATCGATCTACGCAATTGAGATGCGATGACAATGTGTCAACCAAGTCAGCGAGCCTGACAACCCGATCCCGTTAGTCGCCCCTTCCGACAAGCATGGGTTACTGAACCACTTCTAACCCATTTCTTTACGGGTTACACAACGATAACAGAAGGACTGGTTAAGTTGCCGGTAGAGAAACTATGTTATCTTTAAAGGAATTCTTGGAATTCACTGTTAGTGAAAGGCATTCGTGATAGTCTCCATGGCTTTAATATTGTGGTAACACCTGGTGGAAAGGTATCAGTGTAAATTATTTTTAATTCACGTTACTGAAAGACGCAGCTTCTTAAATGTACCTCTTATCATTTTACTGCTTAATGTTTAACTATCTTGTCCAATTTTGTATTAATCTGTAAGATAGCATACGAGTAGCAATTCATTTTAAACTACTGAATGTCAAGGCTTCTAGAAAAATAAAATCATATTGCATTGCAATTTTTCAAATATTTACCGTTATACTCACCACCGAATATTTCTCGAATGTATTAGTTGAGAGTAATATGCTCGCCATCCAATATTTCTCAAATGTGTTAGCTGAGAATTTCTTCCTTCACTAGAAGTGAATTTTGAGATGGATATCCAGGCAGGTATATGTAATCAGCGTGGGCTCCATCATTCTGTGTGGTCCCTGCCTGGCGCTCGGCATTAATGGGTACAACAAGGACTGGTCGGCTCGGAGTCAGTATATATATAATGTGTCTGAGTGGGGTATTCATGCTTCACTGCGGCATGGTATTTCAGTGGGCTAGCACTATAAACCCAGCTTCAGTCTGGGCTAGTACAAGCAGCCGCACATACACATACACACGCATGCACGTCGTCATATGAGCGAAATATTCTCAAGCACGACGTTAAACCCAATTCCACCACCACTCCATCATTCTGTCCAAATACGACACATGTGTACAATGTACTTCTAATTTTCATCAATCAATTCCTTGCAAAATTCATGAGATACTTCCACAATTCCTCTACTGCTGACAGATAAACTGATTTGGTGGCGTTTACTGTCGATCATCGAGATGTTGCATTAATTTCAATCTTGAGACACATATCTGCACGTAAGCGGTGATGATATTAATGTTGATCATATTTTGTCATTGAAATAAATAGACTGGAATAAGAGACGCAGAGCGTACAACTTGCGTTTACCTTAACTGAAGTCGATGTGATAATATTTTAATGATAATAAGATTAAATTTGCATGAGTTGTGTTTGTGTAAACATGACATGAATGTACTATCTGATATGTCCATGCGTCACACGTTTACTAACGTTTGCCTCACTCGCCCTATTGTGAATATTTTCTGCGGGAAATACTAAATTACTATTAAGCCACAAATTATGTAACTGTTTCAAACGCAACGTCAACACAATTGTATTCCTTTTGCCCCTCCTTTCAAACACTCTTCTCCAATATAATGGCTCCCTGGTGTATCTTCATAACAATCATATATGTAATTATACAACTCGACATTTAAAAAGAAAGAAAATACACAGCGTGTCCTATCGTATATCGGCTATGCAATTACAATGAAGAATGATTATTGTAACGTTGCAGGATTTCTACATTGTAAACTGTTGTATAACATCGTTGCAAGAATGTCATATTGTCACATGCAATAATTTCATTTGTTTTGGACTGTGATGCACAACATGCAGATGAGAAATAAAAATACTAAAAAAGAAAAAAAAGATCGCCGTTGATGTTGTTCATGAAAACCAATCGACATTCATACTAAAAAGATGAGGTGATGCTTTATAGTTGTTAAATGTCTATACGTTTGAGAGATGAATTTATTTTTTTAAATAAGATAAGTTAAACGATAACTTAGTACATACCAGTCCTACTTATGGTCTATTTACGTCCAAGTGCATCTGGCAACTTACTGATGTCCAGAAGTGGTGTAAACGGTACTCAGTCAGAATGTATTCACATGGCAAGAATAATCTACCAGCTCATTTTCTGGTATGGACTTTAGCTCTGACTTTTATTCATAATATTTTTCGTTTGCGAACTAAGGGACCAAGACAGTTCGATTATGTTGCAATATATCTAGCAGCAACACGCACCGTTTTCTTAAATTTGATTCATCTGACCTTCATTGTCAAATTGCCAATTGTGAAATGGAACTGATTTGAATTGAGACCTTCAGTATGTCCCGTATTGTATGAAACGTAACTGACCATTGACTTACTATCTAGAGACGTACACGTACAATCGATAATGAACACATCCTGAATCAAATAAGGGAGATAAGTCCGTAAAGGAATCGTTAGTAAGAAGGCCGGAATGTCAGTATAAACGAAATGCTACTCTGTGAGAACTGTGCCATTGTCAGAATTAAGGTGACAAATGGGTTCTCTTATATATTCCCAGCACGTTTGCAAACATACAGGGGCATTTGTACACTGCTTTAAATGTGTGTCGTCATGCAGTTCTTAACGAAGATTAATTTACAGCTTTTGTACACATCTTGTAGAAATATGCATTTTTTACCAACGAGTATGCTCTGAATCGATTCACTGTTACCTTTCATAGAAATAACACAATGTATGTACGACCTACAGTAAACTACGTTTATGACGAACACGCTTATTACGAACTGACATATAACAAACTATTTATAATCACTGTTGATAATGACCACTTGGCCACTGAAGCATAACATTGTGGATGAGGCTGGCAGGATTCGATCCTAAGGGTTAAATAGAGAATGCTTGGTGTTAGTCGGGACTTGCATCTCGGACAGTGGCTAGTTACGTTACCGCCTCGCCAGTGCTATAATACCATGTAGTTTTCATTTCGTATCACGAATAAAGGGTTGTGGTCTCAGTGAAGGACTTATATATTTGCAGATACAGTTAACGCAACTAAACAGCCCTGTATATATGTTTGAAACCCAGAAACACCAGTTTAATGCTGACAAACTTAGGATCATCTTCAGGAATGACGGATTAACAAGCTCTAGATGTATAGACGTTGTACCTGCAATTTGTCAAGACTGTTTGTCCATGGTAATATGTGGATTGTACAGCGGTAAATTGAACCGATTAGTTTTACACTTGACATATTATAGAACTCGCAAGACGGGGAAAACAGAACCAGGTAATGCGTTACACATATCCCCTCAATGGTCTAGGGGAGGTAATTCTGCAATAACGATATAGAAGCATCATAAAATCCCACGTAGACTACCGTGTCAGTGGATTTGGTTTTGCTCTCGATACAAAGGAGCGTTGTTCGTCTTTTGCATGTTGGTTTAAGATTTAGATATTACAAAAAGTTTTGTTTGAACAACCGAGATCGTTTTATGTCTCACATATCCGAATATGTAGAGAACTGGAAATAACTGTTCCAGGTTATTAACATATGTTACATGTGTACATATATCATAATTAGATGTTCGTGAACCTAAGTCAGTGACATAATCTGAGACATTTATATCAGATAACATGTACTCCGTTTAGGTATATATTTATAGCAAAACCGGTTGATACTCCGCATTCAAATGTTCTTTTTACTGTATAGTTTAGGGATTTTATTGCCAAAACAAGAGTAATGATTGCATCATCGCAACTGGTTGATCATCGGAATTGATCGGCGAGCATCAATATCAGGCTTAGTGAAAACGTTTCAAACCCAACAAGAACACACGGAAGTACTTTGTTTTAAAGAAGGACCCATTTTCACCTGTACCCCCGAGAAAAAATATATAAATACTGTACGGAAAATATCAATCAAGTTCATTACATACAGTGATGTAGATCAGATTGTTATCTTACACACCTCCCTTTGTTAAATATCGCCTAAGACCTCTACTGACATGAGATCGTGATTTCTTCCTGACATTTAATTAAGGACTGTTAGAGTGAGAATGGTCTTACGCCTTTTTAAAACAATATTCCAGGAATACCACGGCGGGGGACACCAGAAATGGGCTTCACAAATTGCACCCATGTGGGAAATCGAACCCAAATCTTCCGTGTGACGACCGAACGGTTAAACCACGAGGCTAACTACCGCCCCCTCAGTGTCATGAAAGTCTACTAAATTTGTACAGAAGCAAAGATAAAAAAAATTCAACACTTTAACCAAGAAATTACACTTGTCATATAAAACATTTAATACCTCTCTCGAGATATCAAGCATATAATCCCATGTTTTTAGTCGATGAGTAAAAACTAACGTAGCGTATATATACACGCATCAATCCTACACACAACCTGTTACGTGCAAGAATATATTTCAGGGGGCACAATTTACATCGACACCGGTCGTTATTGCGTCAGGGTAAGTCTGGTTATGGTTCGCGGATCACATGTTCTCATTTTCATGAAATTCTCATGTGTTTTGAGATATAATGCTCGAAGTATTGTTAATAAGTGTTCCAAGATTCGAATGATCTCTTTAAAAGTTCAAAATAACCATTGATTATCTAATTGATAGGTTTGTTGTTTCCCGGAAATGTCCGTTCTGTCCTAGTTTCGGTTTGATAAAACCTCATAGCCATGCGTCGCCACGGATGTGTGATATCTATTGTAATCTGTAGCCTATTTACACCAGCTATACACGGCTCGGTGGCCAAATTTGCTATAGCGATGCTATATGTTTATGCACATGAATGTGTAGCTGTACACAAAGCCTGAGTGAGTGAGTTAAAATGTGACGTGGCATCGGCAATGTTCCAGCCATATATCTAGACCATGTTTACAGTGCACACAACAATGCATAGTTACACAAAGTTAAATTCCAAAGAAAGATTTCATGTACATTTCCTAACGTGAATATATTATCATTTTAACAATACTCTTTACAATACTGTAGACAATATTGTAACAGTATTATTAATTATATAATTTAAAAAATGGGCTGTAACATGAGCAAATGCTGTTGTTTGTGTGTAGAGCTGCACGTATATATCCCTGTAACATCTTTGCGAGCAAGTACCGTAATTCCGATAATGTATGCTAATATAACATTAATGAACAGGAAATACAACAAGGTTTCAGCGATGTATACGAAACACCCCCTCACATTTCACTTCATGTAATACTGCGGATTACGATTCAAACACCGTGATGTTGAACTGTATTTCGTTCGATACTTCGTTCGCTTTCATACTGTATATTTATTTAAATGTGTGTGATGTTTATGGATAAAAACTGCACAATGTGCAGAATGCTGCAAACAATCAAAGCCACAAACAGTTATGATGTGCCCGTTCTTTCATATTAGTTCGAAACACGAAAATCAGAATACTGACTCACTCTCACAAAGAACCGTCCGGGTTAGAATTGGCCTTCAGCAACCCATGCCTGTCGTAAGAGGCGACTAACGGGATCGGGTGGTCGGGCTCGCTGACTTGGTTGACACATGTCATCGCTTCTCAAATGCGCAGATCGATGCCCATGCTGTTGATCACTGGATTGTCTGGTCCAGACTCGATTATATACAAACAACCGCCATGCCGCTGTATGTTGCTTGAGTGCGGCGTTAATACAAAAATACATAATTTTTTAGGAGTCGAGACGAATTGGGTGTGTTCACATTCTGGAACTGTCCTTGTATACATGTATATGTGATAAAGTAACTCTGAAATCCGCCATTGGATCAACTTGGATCAACATATAACGTCACTGTTTAAAGTTCTGATTCTAATGCAGATGGCGGCGGCTGCAGTGAAACTGACTGACGAGTTCTTGCGATGCACCATTTGCACAGAGGTCCTACAGGAAGCATGCACACTTGTGTGTTATCACACATTCTGTCGGAAATGTGTCATCAACTACACCAAAACCAAACCCGAAGCCATCAGTGCTAAGTCTCTTCTCTGTCCATTCTGCAGCAAGATGACGAAAGTGTCTGATCCTGACAAACCAGTGGAGGAATGGGCGGATGACGTCAAGCCCAGCTTTGTCATCCAGGGACTGTTGGACTCCTTTGGTCCGGGATCTAAAGGTGAGGAGGTATTGGTTTATGACAGATCATCGGCACTGACAAATAGGGTCCTGTGCTACGAGACTAGATAACTTATTTGATAGTGAATCAGAGAAGTCGAACAAAATATTAATGCAATGGAACCGGATATTACATTGGCAATTGCATACTTTTCTAATTATTATCCTCTCATCTTTCCGTAAAACCTGTTATCATCTTCATTCAATATATGGTGAGTTATTATGTATCCAGAATGGTACAATGGACCCTACGTTAGTATATATTTTTGAATAGAGATTTCTATTTTATTATTGATTTTTAATAAACCATTGACCTGCTTGTCGCGAACGGCTTTAATACTGACTTTGCTTTTCATATATCGTACGAAAAATGCCTAAGTATCAAGACGTGTAGGTCGGTCGACTAAAACGGACATAATGAATGCATTTTAATTTTTTCATTTGCCATTCATTATTTACTGGCGGTCTTCAGACAGATAAAATATTATCACACCAACATATTCCACCAAGAATAGTTCTCAGTACTTGTGATCAGGTAACGCTAACTTTCATGTCTCAATTACGAAGATCGATTCTTCTAATGCAAACCTGTAAGCTGCCTGGTCCAAACTCGTTTGAAGTGAGACAACGTCTTTTTCCTTGTTTTCAGACATGGCGAACTGCCAGTATTGTAAAGAAATAGGGGAGGCAACTCCAGCTGTTTCCTGGTGCTCCGTTTGTGATGACGCAATCTGTGAAAATTGTGCAGCAATGCACAAACGAATTCCAGCAACACGAAACCATGAAGTTATCGTCTTTACAGGAGATCCAAAAACCTTACAAAAGCGAAAGGTAATGTGCGAAGAGCACAAAAATGAGTGCATTGAATTTGTTTGTAAAGATTGCAAAAAGCTTATTTGTCAGAAGTGCTGCATAGTCTACCACAGGAAATGTTCATCTGTTGTCACAATTGAGTCAGAGCTTACCGAGATCAAGACAAAACTGATGACAAAAAGGAAATCGTTGCTTACAGACGAACAAACGAGGAAGGACCGAGTCAGAGAACAGAAACTAAGACTTACTGAGGTCAGTGAATCATCGTCAGAACTGGAGTCACTGATTCGGTCGTCCTGTGACATGGCCAGAGAAAAGATTAAACAGAAGGAGAACACACTCATAAACAAACTGAAAGAAGCTACTGAAATTCACCTTGGACAGCTAAAAGCTGACATCAAGGCGGGAGAAATGGCAGCGCAGATGTACCACCAGGGGGTCGAGCTGATAGACAAGGGTCTGGAGACTGAATGTCAGGTGGACATCTACCGAATGTGTCAATGGTTTGAGGAGGAACGTCTAGAGGAGGCAGTTCTCAATGAGGCTGTGGACAAAATCATTTTTGAACAGGATACGGACAAGCTTGTCAACATCCTAGAAACCCTACCACTGGGAGACATTGAAGTTGTGTATAAGGGTAATGAGATGCTTGGTGATGGTGTGTTTGATGTGAAGGGAACGCCTGTCTTACATGATACATTACCATCCCATAAGGCCTTACTCGCACCCTTGGATGTAATGGTGATGGTAGTCAACAATATACATACGCTGGTGGTCTTAGATTACGGGGATAAAAATCTGAAGTCCTTCTATACTCGGAAAAATAAAGCATGTCAAAGTAACCTTCATGTTGGAGGTCGGCCATTCAATATAGCAAAATTGTCACACAATCAGGTGATTGTATCTGTTGTCGATGAACGAAAACTTGTAACAGTTCGTGTCACTCCAGACCTTGCGCATCTCTCAACGATCAAAACAAGCAAATATTATTATGGTTTGACTGCTCTGACATCGTCAACACTAGCTGCCGGGTCAAGATCGCCTCCGTGTGTGGATATAATTGGTATGACGGGGAACGTTCTGAGTTCGTTAGTGCCGATGGAAAATGGGGTACCACTGGTCAACATGCCGTGCTTCCTCTCTACGATGAAGACAGGAAACATCCTTGTGTCTGATGAAGGAACCAGTCGTATCCTGTGTTTGACACCAGAAGGAGATGTCCTGTTCAACCTCACCCATACAGGAAATGAAATGTTTCAACTCCCTCTTGGTATCACAAGCACGAGCTCTGGTGACATCCTGGTTGCCGATCACAACAGTCACAGAATAATACATATAACTGAATCGGGAGATTTTGTGAGAAACATACTAACATCAAAGCAGGGTATAAACTATCCACGTGGAATTTGTGTAGATACACGTGGTCGACTCTACATATGTCATCGCACTGAAGGCACGATCAAGGTGTTCTCCAGTAAACCGTGACAATTACCACATCAAGAATCAGAAATATAATGTGTGTGTCTGTGATCACCAGGTTTATTCAGAAACAAAGTAGAGATAGAAATCAAACTTGAGGTAGATTAATTCTTTTATAAGACTCGAGATAAACTCCAGATGTATATCTTAAACATTACTTGTAATTATGTCTTTCGTTATGTGGATATCTCGATTGTCAAATGGACTTCGGTGTCACTGCGAGAACCTTGATAGAGTTTTACAGAAGACGGACTGATGACGGAATGTTAAGTCTGTGCTATACATTGTACAAACTAATCATCACATGCTGCGAAAGAATACTACATAAAGACAAAAGAAAGAGCAGAAAAACACCAAGCTCAGTGAATATAATGTACTTTGAACTTTAACCTAACTGTCAATCATGGTACTTGATGTGTTCATGCCCGGAAAGGGTTTATAAAAAACACTTTGTTGTGTGTTCCGTTAGGATCAGCTGTCCATGTATCGTCGTAAACTCGTTTATGAGACTATAACGGAGGTAAAACCGCCCGGTTGACAAATAGGATGGGAAAATCAATGGAAGTGAAAGTTTACAAAAGCAAAGATTAATCAAACTCGCTCTACAAAGAATAAAATAATTTAGCAAATGTCACTTTCTAAATCTCAGGAGAGAAAACACAAACTGAATCAAATATTTGTCAAGAAATAAAGCAGTGGAACAATTGTTTCAAAGCAATGTTTTTGGCACATCGGTTATGTCCGTTTTATAGAGCGGTATATGAAATTGTTGTCTTTTCTCGACATCAGACAATTTTGTTATTTTTAATATTACATCATACATGCAGAAAGGCAGTATGGACGTTATGTTGTGTACGACATATAATTATATGTATGTGTTCCTGCTAAGACGGTAGATGTCTTTGAGGATGTTATAGCGTACTATAGCTACGTTCATCCAGCAATATCTTATGTAAACGCTGGTAGCGTTTCCTGTGGATTACTGTATGACGTCTTGTAGGAACAATACAGATACCAAATAAAACAAAGGCATATTTTATTATTTATTTGTTTGTTTGTTTGTTTTAAACGCCACTCTCAGCAATATTCCAGCTATATGGCAGTGGTCTGCCATATCTTTTCTTACTGAGTACTGTTTCTGAAATTAAAACGATCAAATGCAGTACGTAACAACGAGGAGTGAGGAGTTCATCATATAGAACAAGAACGTCGTTAATCTTGCTTTAAACGTCATGGACTTCTGTATCCTGAAAAAGAACACCTGTCGCATTCTAAATGGAAACTCTAAACACGTACCACACAGTTAGACACTGATAGTGAAGCTCACAGTTCGTTAAAGAGTGCGTGAGTTACAATCTATATTCACATCGGTAAAATTTTGCCCATTTAGTGATGAAGCAAGTCATACATTGAGAATAAATCGAGTTATATTGTCAAATCCATCAACCAAGGACAACAAAACAACTAGATTATCACAGATATAGAATTTAAAACTAGCATGCAAATATATAAGTTATATTTCTATTCACATCAATACAATATAGAAACGGGCTGTAGACCTGCAACTGAATGCAGGTACCATGGGGACTTACAGAAAACTCACAGTTAAGTTTTGGCTGCTGTTGCTATGTTACGATCATAACTACAGGCTCATGTACATCCAAAATGGCACCACATTGTCTAGTCCGGTAACCTCGATAAGTCGCCTTGAATTGCGGATGAATGCAAGGCAGGTGAAATTGACTCTGGTTGCCTTAAACACAACCCATCTGATGTGTATATCAGTAACAGTTGATTAAATGCGTTTCTCATCCAGGGAATAAAGAACCCATAAAATACATGATCAGAGTGAGTGCTATAGCAATGCTAACTTAAGCCCCATATTAAAACTATTAAAATATTAAATGTTTTTGAAAAATGTTTACCAATGTTATCTATCCTCGACTCACCTCCAGATTTCTTATCACTGTCATACAATATTCAGATTCTCTCTCTAATGAACTACATTAAGAACCAATCAAAACACTGAAGCTGAAGTCAGCATGAATCAACATGGGAAGTCCAGTGAACCCACATGAGTCAAGTGTATCATAACAAAATGGATATGATCGTGTGGGTTATTTTATCATATGATACGGGTGAATATTTTATTTTGGAAGAACACAAATGGACAGATTTTGAGGTTCAGCATTTGATTTTCAGGATTGTCCAATCCGGTAAATAAGATAAAAATAACAATATATTTCGAACTAATGAATGTCAAGGTGTCTTAAAACACACACAATCTTATTCTATTGCTAATGTACAAGTATTTGCATATATTCTCGAATATATTAGCTGTAATTCATACTCGCCGCACAATATTTCTCAAATGTATTAGCTGAGAATTACTTCATTCACCAGAAGTGAAGTTTGAGATTGATATCCAAACAAGTACATATAATCAGAGCGTGCTCCATCATGCTGTCCCAATACGACACACGTGTACAACGTACTCCAATTCCTTGCAAAATTCATAAGATCCTTCCACATTCCTTCTACTACTGACAGATAAACTGATTTAATGGCATTTACTGGCGATCATCCAGATGTTGCATTAAGTTCAGTCTTGAGACGTTGACGAAAATGAAAATATATGTCATAAAAAATGAGAGCTGTGGGTTAACTTCAAACCAATCTCAAAATGCATAATTGTTGGTTTTCTGACATCTTGTCTGCACATCCTTCCTGCGTAAACATTTGTTCCTGATGCTTTCATTTCTAATGCTTGATACATAAAATCTATGTGGGGTGTACTCAAATGATATTTTTGATATTTAATGTATGAGATATATTATATGGATTCCCCTGTGATCTGCAGTGACCTGAAGTTTCATGTATCTGTTAGAAAACAAATTGTAGAGAAAATGGCATTTTGTTTATGCCACTTTCAACTGTTTCAAGTCTCATCCCAAGATTTTTCTTCATTTCCTGTGACAGTTTGTAAAAATATTTTGTATATAAATCATAAACCACCGATTCAATGAAAAAAAAAAGTATTGAGGGACATATATGCACGTAAGCAGTGATGATATTAATGTTGATCATATTTTGTCATTGTAAATAGAGTGGAATAAGAGAATTCCGTTTACCTTAACTGAAGTCGATGTGAAAATATTTTAATCATAACATGATTAAATTTGCATGAGTTGTGTTTGTGTAAATATGACATGAATGTACTATATGACATGCCCATGCGTTACGCGTTTACCTAAATTTATTCAGACTCATCTCTGTTGATGTTGTATATATCAGCGACACGCGCCGTTTTCTTAGATTTGATTTATCTGAACTTCATTGTCAAACTGTCTATTGTGAAGGGCAACTGATTTCAAGTAAGACCATCAGTATTTCCCGTATGAAACGTAACTATAATCGATATTGAACACATCCTGGATCAAAGAAGGGGAATAAATCCGTAAAAGAACCGTTAGTAACAAGGGCGGCTTGCCAGTATAAACGCAATACTGAACCCCCTAAAAACCCATGTCCAGAATCGAACCCGGATCTTCGGCTAGACGAGCGAACGCTTTAACCACTAGGCTACCCCACAGCGCACTGCTTTAAAAGTGTGTCGTTATGCAGTTCTCATCAAAGCTTAATCTACAGCTGTTGTACACATGTTGTAGAAACATGCTTTTGTTACCAACGAATATACTAGCTATCGACTCGCTCCTACCTTTTCTGGACCTACATTTGACCCGTGAAGATCCGGGATAGAATATTGATCTTCGGTAACCCATGATTGTCGTATGAGGCAACTAACGGGGTCGGGTGGTCAGGCTCGCTGACTTGGCTACACATGTCATCGCTTCCCAATTGCGCAAATCGATGCTCATGTTGTTGATCACTTGATTGTCTGGTCCAGACTCGATTATTTACAGACCGCATAGCTGTAATATTGCTGAGTGCGGCGTAAAACTCATTCACTGGACCTACATTTACGACCTACAGTAAACCACGTTTATGACGAATTGACATATAACGAACTATGTATAATCACAGTTCGACAATGGCCAGTTGACTTCTAAAGCATGGCGTGGATGAGGTTGGGGGACACTGCAGGCTGGCAGGATTCGACAATTAGGGATAAATAGATAATGCTTTGTGTTAGTCGGGACTTATCTCGGACAGTGGCTAGTACCGCCTCGCCACGGCTATAAAAGCATTTAATTTATTTCGAATAACGAATAAAGCCTCGCTGTGGTCTCACTGAAGGAATTATATATTTGCAGATACAGTTATCGCAAATAAACAGCCCTGTATATATGTTTGAAACCCACACACGCTAGTTTAAATCGGACAAACTTAGGACCATCTTCAGGAAGTACGGATTATCCAGCTTAGATGTATAGTCGTTGTATCTGCAATTTGTCAAGACTGTTTGTCCATGGTTAACATGCGGATTGTAGAGCGGTAAATTGAACCGATTAGTTTTACACCTGACATGTTATAGAACTCGCAAGACGGGGAAATAGAACCAGGTTAAGGTTTACACAAATCCCCTCAATGGTCTAGGGGAGGTAATTCTGCAATAACGATATAGAAGCGTCATAAAATCCCACGCAGAATACCGTGTCAGTGGATCTGGTTTTGCTCTCGATACAAAGGAGCGTTGTTCGTCTTTTGCATGTTGGTTTACGATTTAGATATTACAGAAAGTTTGGGTTGAAGAGCGGAACTTTTCATGTAATATATATGCGGATACGTAGGGAGCTGGAAATAACTGTTCCAGGTTAATATTATATGTTATTATATGTGAATAAATCAAAATTAGATGATCGTGAACGTAAAAGTCAGTAACAGAATGGATAACAACTTCTTTGTTTATTTTTCACAACGTTTCTGGGCTAGTTTTTGGCCCTTCTTCAGGTGAATAATGGTGACAGTAAACATTACAGTATATATATATATAGATGTACAGGAAGCCAGATATGTAAATTGAGTATATACAAGGGAGAAAGGAAGTATAATTAAGTATGTACAAACAATGCAGTGAGATCAAAGAGCAGGATACAATGATAGGGTATGGTCACCTGAAGAACTAGCCCAGAAACGTTGAGAAAAATAAACCAAGAAGTTGTTATCCATAAGATTTGTCTTGTATTACTACACCAACTTCTAAATGCCTTTGAAGAATTTCAATAGGTTATTATATGTGAATAAATCAAAATTAGATGATCGTGAACGTAAAAGTCAGTAACAGAATCTGAGACATTTATATCAGATAACATGTACTCCGTTTAGGTATCTAATTATAGCAAAACCGGCTAATACCCGATGGTTGATCAAGGGAATTGATCGGCGAGCATCAGTGTCAGGCTCAGTAAGAATATCTCAAACCCAACAAAAACACGGAAATACTATTTTTAACGAAGGACCCATTTTCACCTGTACCTCCGAGAAAAAATATCAAAATAATGCACGGAAAATATCAGTCACGTTCATTACATACAGTGATGTAGATCAGATTGTTATCTTACACACCTCCTTTTGTTAAATATCGCCTAAGACCTCTACTGACATGAGGTCGTGACTTGTTCCTGACATTCAATTAAGGACTGTTAGAGTGAGTATGGTTTTACGCCACTTTTAGCAATATTCCAGCAATACCACGGCGGGGGACACCAGAAATGGGCTTAACACATTGCACCCATGCGGGGAATCGAGTGCAGGTCTTCGGTGTGACAGGCGAACGCTTTCACCATGAGGCTACCCATCGCCCCCCTCAGTGTCATGGACGTCTACTTAATTTTAACAGAAACAAACAAATACAATTACAACATTTTCAAACAAGAAATTACGCTTGTCATATAAAACATTTAATACCTCTCTAGAGATCTCAAGCATATAAACCCATGTTTTTAGTCGAGGTGTAAAAATTGACATACCGCAGATATACACGTATCAATCCTATCCACAACCTGCCACATGCAGATACAAATTTCAGGGGGCACAGTTTACAACGACACCGGTCGTGAAGCGTCAGGGTAAGTCTGGTTGTGGGTCGCGGATCAGATGTTCTCATTTTCATGTCATTCTCATGTGTATTGAGATATAATGCACGAAGTATTGTCAATAAGTGTTCCAAGATTCGAATGATGTGTTAAAACATTCATAATTATTATTAGTTATCCAATTGTCAGGTATGTTGTTTCCTGGAAATGTCCGCGCTATCCTAGTTTCGGTTTGATAGGAGCTCACAGCCATGCGCCGTCGTCACAGTGGTGTGATCTATCTATTGTTATCTAGCCTGTTTCAACCAGTTGTACTCGGTAGCTCAATTTGCTATATTGCTGTTATATGTTTATGTACTTATGGCTGTGCACAAAGCCTGAGTGAGTGAGTTAAGATTTAACCTCACATCGACGTTGGTTCAGCCATATAGCGATGAGACCAGGTTTACACATATACACACATCAATAATTACTCGAAGTTACTTTCCAAAACAAATTTTCATGTACAGTCCGTTTGGCTTAAAAGCGGGCCGATGAACTGCAATATAACTTGAAAACTAATAAGAATAAATTAAAATGCTCAGTGAAACGCTGATCATAATCAGACCAACTCTTTTGCAGAATCTATGTCTCGCATACCTGGCTGTCCCTTTCTTTGCACTCCTCCCTCGTAACAAATAGTGAACTGTGTCAATATTTTAATGATAGATTGTTAAACAACTTTTTATATTTTTAGGACTTAAATTCTGCAAAAACCTCACAGTGTTGGTCTGATGTTTATGATCAGCCTTTCATTGAGTATATGTTTATTAGTTTTCGAGTTAGAATCCAATTAATCGGACTGCTGTTGAGTCAAACGGACTGTACAAATGTTAACATCACTTTATTATCTGTAAACAATACTAGTATTTACAATAGTGAAAACAATACTATACTGAAACAATATAATTTGCAACTTTAAAATAGCTTTCCGCCGTGGGCGCCGTGTCAATTTACAGTTACCAGAGGGGTACGCAAAGTCCGTGGTCTGGAGGTGAGGTGAAGTGAAATTGGGTTTTACGTCGTGCTTGAGAATATTTCGCTCATATGACGACGTGCATGCGTGTGTATGTGTATGTGCGGCTGCTCGTACTAGCCCAGACTTCAGCTGGTTTTATAGTGCTAACCCACTGAGATACCATGCCGCATTGAAGAATGAACACCCCACTCACTCAGACACATTATACTGACTCCGAGCCGACCAGACCTTGTTGTACCCATTAATGCCGAGCGCCAGGCAGGGACCAACAAGTACCATATTTTAACATCTTTTGGTATGACGCTGTCGGGGATCGAACCCGCGACCTTCCGCTCTCCGGGCGGACGCTCTAACCACTACACCACGGAGGCGGTCCCGCGGTGGTTGAATAGGTTTGACAGCTGTTTTTGTGTGATGGCCATTAGGTACCTGGCCCTGAAGGTTTCGGGTCGAATCCCCGATGGGACTCATCCCAACAAAAGTACATGAATCTGTACTTTAATGAGAAAGTGTAATCCGAAATATAACATATGTTACATTTGACCACTTTCTAAATGGCATTGTATATTCATGATTTATAAAGAGTCTTTTTGTTTTTGTTGTTTGTGTGTACAGCTGCATGTTTATATTCCTGTGGGTTATGAGTAACAACTTTGCGACCCAGAACTGTAATTCCATAATGTATGCTAATATAACATTAATGAACAGCTAATGGAAGAATGTTTGAGGGATATATGAAACGACCCTCCTCCAGTAAGGCAATACTGTGGATAACAATTTGAATACCGTGATGTTGGACCGTATCTCGTTCGAAATTCAATATCGCTTTCATACTGTATATGTAAATGTGTGTGATGTTTATGAATAAACACGGCACAATACATGTAGTGTCTGGAAGGGATACAGGTTTTAGACACCCATGAAGATGCGGGTTAGAATTCAGCAACCCACACTTGTCTTAAGAGGCAACTAATGGGATCGGGTGGTTAGGTTCGTTGACTAGGCTGACACAGGTCATCGTATCCGAATTGAGTAGATCGATGCTCATGGTTTTGATCACTGGATTGACTGGTGCAGACTCGATTATATACAAACAACCGCCATGAAGCTGGAATATTGCTGGTATGCAGCGTTAATCAAGAAATAAACATTTTTTTTTGGAGGGGAGACGATTGCGGTGTGTTCACATTCTATAACTGTTCTTGTATATATGCGATAAAGTAACTCTGAAATCCCCCCTTGGATCAACATGTAACGTAACTGTCCTGATTCTGATGCAGATGGCGGCGGCTGCAGTCAAACTGACTGAAGAGTTCTTGCGATGCACCATTTGCACCGAGGTCCTACAGGAGCCATGCACACTTGTCTGTTATCACACATTCTGTCGGAAATGCGTCGTCAACTACACCAAAACCAAACCAGAAGCCATCAGTGCCAAGTCTCTTCTGTGTCCATTCTGCAGCAAGATGACGAAAGTGTCTGATCCTGACAAACCAGTGGAGGAATGGGCGGATGACGTCAAGCCAAGCTTTGTCATCCAGGGACTGTTGGACTCCTTTGGTCCGGGATCTAAAGGTGAGGAGGTATCAGTTCATCACAGACCACCGGCACTGACAAATACGAGACAAGATAACGTACATGGCTTATTTCATTGTGAATCAGAACAGTCGAACTAAATATTAACGGAACCTGATATCACATTGACAACTGCATACTTTTACAAATTATTTTCGCTCATATTTCCGCTAAAACTGTTATCATCTTCATATAGTATATTGTGATTTATGGTACATTTGTATACTTTTTTAAATAGAAAATTCTTTACATTATTGATTTGTGATCATCCAATGACACTATGGTCTTGGCCAAATATGGGCGCTCTTAACGTTAATACTGACTTCACGTTTATCGTACAAAAAATGCCTGATTACCTAATCGTTGTCCTGTATCAAGACGTGCAGGTTGGTCGGTTTATGAGGACAGCATGGCGTATATACACTGCAATTCATTTGCCATTCATAATTTACTGCCGATATTCAGGCAGGCCAGATATTATCACTCAAACATATTCCAGCAAGAATAATACCCGTGAATATCAGGGTTAGAATTGGTCTTCAGCAATCCATGCTTGTCGTAAGAGGCGACTAACGGGATATGGTGGTCAGGCTCGCTGACTTAGTTGACAAATGTCATCATATCCCAATATGTGTAGATCGATGCTCATATTGTTGATCACTGGATGGTCTGGTCCAGAATCGATTATTTACAGACCGCTGCCATACAGCTGTAATATTGCTGAGTACAGCGCTAGATAACAAACCAACCAACCGCCAAGATAGGATCTCAGTACTTGTGATAAGGTAACGCTAACTTTCTTACACACGTGGCACAAGCGACACGAAAATATATAAATGCTGTACTAGCCGGCGGGCCGTATGATTGATTGATTGATTTACTGATTGTTGTTTAACGCCGCTCTCGGCCATATTCCAGCTACATGACGGTGGTCTGTATTGATTACGGTCCAGACAATCCAGTGATCAACAGCATGAGCATCAAACGAGTCTGAATATCTGTGCTTGTGGTACTTCGGTTGTAGAGAGACAACGTGTTTTCTTGGTTTCAGACATGACTAACTGCCAGTATTGTAAAGATATAGGGGAGACAATTCCAGCTGTTTCCTGGTGCTCCGTTTGTGATGATGCAGTCTGTGAAAAATGTGCAGCAATGCACAAACAAATTCCAGCAACACGAAACCATGATGTTATCGTTTTTACAGGAGATACAAAAACCACGCAAAGGCGAAAGGCAATGTGCGAAGAGCACACAAATGAATGCATTGAATTTGTTTGCAAGGATTGCAAAAAGCTTATTTGTCAGAAGTGCGGCGTAGTCTACCACAGGAAATGTTCATCTGTTGTGACAATTGAATCAGAGCTTACCGAGATGAAGACAACACTGATGACAAAAAGGAAGTCGTTGCTTACAGACGAACAAACGAGGAAGGACCGAGTCAGAGAACAGAAACTAAAACTTACTGAGGTCAGTGAATCATCGTCAGAACTGGAGTCACTGATTCGGTCGTCCTGTGACATGGCCAGAGAAAAGATTAAACAGAAGGAGAACACACTCATAAACAAACTGAAAGAAGCTACAGAAATTCACCTTGGACAGCTAAAAGCTGACATCAAGGCGGGAGAAATGTCAATGCAGATGTACCACCAGGAGGTCGAGCTGATAGATAAGGGTCTGGAGACTGAATGCCAGGTGGACATGTACCGAATGTGTCAATGGTTTGAGGAGGAACGTCTAGAGGAGGCAGTTCTTAATGAGACTGTGGACAAAATCATATTTGAACAGGATGTGGACCGGCTTGTCAATGTTCTAGACAATTTACCATTGGGAGACATTGAAGTTGTGTATAAGGGTAATGAGATGCATGGTGATGGTGGGTTTGATTTGCAGGCAACGCCTGTCTTACATGACACAATAAACATTAGGTTACCATCTGACAAGATGTCACCCTCACCCTTGGATGTAATGATGATGGTGGTCAACAATACGCATACACTGGTGCTAACAGATGACAACAATAGCAATATAAAGTCCTTCTACACCCGGAATAATCAGGCATGTCAAAGTAACCTTCATGTTGGAGGTCGGCCAAGCAATATAGCGAAATTGTCACACAATCAGGTGATTGTATCTTTTGTCAATGAACGAAAACTTGTAACGGTTGGCGTCACACCAGACCTTGCGCATCTATCAAGGATCAACACAAGCAAGGGTTATTATGGTTTGACTGCTCTGACATCGTCAACACTAGCTGCCGGGTCAAGATTGCCTCCGTGTGTGGATATAATTGATACGGCGGGGAACGTTCTGAGGTCGTTTATGCCGCTGGTAAATGAGGTACCACTGGTCAAAAGACCCAATTTCCTCTGTACATCGAGGACAGGAAACATCATTGTGTCGGATGAAGGAACCAGGCGTATACTGTGTTTGGCACCAGAAGGAGATGTCCTGTTCGAACTCAACCATACAGGAAATGAAATCATTCAAGACCCTCTTGGTATCACAAGCACGAACTCTGGTGACATCTTGGTTGCGGATTGCTTAGGGCACAGGATAATACATTTGACTGAGTCTGGAGATTTTGTGAGAAACATACTGACATCAAAGGAGGGTATAAACTATCCACGTGGAATTTGTGTTGATGGACTCGGTCGCCTTCACATATGTTACTTCAGGGAAGGCACGATCAAGGTGTTCTCCAGTAAACCATGACAATTACCACATCATGCATCAGAAATATAAAGTGTGTCTCTGTGATCACAAGGTTTATTCAGAAACACCGTACAGATTGAATGAGATTGAAGTAGATTAATTCTTTTCCAAGACACGCATGGTTTGAGACATAATTGCATGAATTACACCCCAGATGTAAATTTTAAACACTACTTCATGTCTTTCATTATGTGGACATCTCGATTGTCAGATGGACTTCGGTGTCAATGCAGAGTCTTGGCAGACTTCTACAGAAAGATATGCGCATGGTGACGGGATGTTTAGTCTGTGCTATACGTTGTAAAAACTATTCATCACATGAAACACGGTAGTATCAGCGTCATCTCGTTTAGGACGCATACTTATATGTAAGTGTTCCTGCTAAGACGGGAGATGCTAAGACTGTGGGACGTCTTGTAGGGACAATACAGATGGCAAATAAAACAAAGGCAATAACAAATGATTTATTTGTTTGTTGTTTAACGCGACACTCGGCAATCTTCCAGCTATATGGAAGTAGCCTGTAAATAATCAAGTGTCAAGCAAACAATCAAGTGATCAACAGCATGAGCATCGATCTACGCAGTCGGGATATGATGACATCTATCAACCAAGTCAGTGCGCCTGACCATTCGATCCCGTTAGTAGCCTCTTTTGACAAACATGGGTTGCTGAAGATCAATTCTAACCCTGATCGTCACGGGTGGCATATGTAATAATGACAACGTAACATACAATAATGATGGGAAACAAATGCAGTTGTCTGTTTGTGAGTACCCAGCTAATTTAGTTGAGTATTCACTGAACACAGCTGGGTTTACAGGACCCGAGAACAAAGTTAAATTGTTACTGATTGCTCGTGGACTGACATGTTTCCTTCACTTGTATGATTCATAAAGTCAACACTGCACCTGTCGTTACTCAAACAACACAATTGACTTTATTAGAAATATATCGTTTATTAGATATCATAGTAAGCAAAGACTGGCTTGTTGTTTAACGCCGCACTCAGCAATGTTTCAGCTCTACGGCAGCGGCCTGTAAATATTCGAGTCTGGACCAGACAATCCACTGATTAGCATCATGAGCAGTTGGGATACTATGACATGTGTCAACCAAGTCAGCGAGCCTGACCACCCGATCCTGTTAGTCGCCTTCTACGACAAGCATGGGTTACTGAACACCAATAATTATTCTCACCCGGATCTCCGCGGGTTAGTTACAAAAGAACCCAAGATACAGCGTGTAGTGGACAAAGATCATGTCCAAGAAAAATTTGTGCTGTTTTTACGAAGACTGAAATATCGTTGAATTTGCCTATTTTTTTCGATTGATTTCGTTGTATTACCCAAGGAGATTATGACCCAAGTTGACACAAATGTTGAACCAACTGTTGTATTGCCTTTTAGGAATGATTATATTTAGTTTATTGCTGACTGTTACGTAAAACAATGTTTGTTCTCACTGAACATTTTAGTCCACAATAAATAACGTTCTTGGATATCATTACCCCTCAATATACAGTTTCATCGTTCTTGATAATATTGTACATGTCACGCCTCGGGGGGAACACACCTGTGAAGATCTGGGTTAGAATATTGATCTTCAGTAACCCATGCTTGTCGTAAGAGGCGACTAACGGGATCGGGTGGTCAGGCTCGTTGACTTGCTTGACACATGTCATCGGTTCCCAATTGCGTAGATCGATGCTCCTGCTGTTGATCACTTGATTGTCTGGTCCAAACTCGATTATGTACAGACCGCCGCCATATAGCTGGAGTATTGCTGAGTGCGGCTTAAAGCTACACTCACTCACTCACTCGGGGGAACAAGACAGATGGAAAGCAATAGGTATACGTCAGTAAAATATAAACATAAATAAATAGACGTGCTTTTCAAGCATGTCACGGAAAATATTTTTGTACCATACCGCCACCATAAAATACTTTCTACCCACATTTACATGACAATTCGGATGTCAAATTCTTAAATAGTGGATATAGTTATAGAAGAAACTGTAAATTTTCTTAAATGTGTGATCAACAGGTTTAAAACAATATGAACAATCCGGGTTTCAATTCACTCACTGTTTTACAGCAACACCCGGTTTTTGATTGCTGTTTCTTATGAACCTGACAACACACGGCATCTCCACAGTAGTTGAGCGGTAAACTTGCCATCAAAGGGAACGCCTTTCTGTGTTTACAAATCTGAAACTGAAAAAAAAGCTGAATCCTGAAATTTAAGTTGTTAAAAACGCTGAAATACAAAAGCTTTGTATTTTGTTACACACAGTCGACATTTCAAAACAGAATTATGAATAGACCAATAAATTGTAGATTGAAATGTTCATTGAAACAAATTCTTATGACAAAAATGTTATTCAGACTGTTCTATCAACATCAGAAGAAATATTGTGCTGCTGGCTGATATCCGCACGTGCACACTGTTTCAGAGAATTTCTCTCATGTTTGTGGCAAATGTTCAAACTGTATTACACTCTTTATGAATTATGAGGTTTTTGTTTGAATTGAATAACAGCATAACAAGAATCATGCAAAAACATGTATCAAACATGAGTTAGTGAGTGAGCTTAGTTTTACGCCGCTTTTAGCAATATTCCAGAAATATCACGGCGTGGGACACAAGAAATGGGTTTCATACATTGTACCCATGTGGGAATCGAAACCGGGTCTTCGGCATGGCGAACGGACGCTTTAACCACTGGGCTACCCCACCGCCCACTAAATATGAAGCATGACCTGCAATTTAACTCAATATACAATAATAAATTTACCTCAAGTTTTGCCAAGTCAGGTGATGGAGTAAGAATATTTGTTAAAACGTCGTGTTTCTCATAGTAATGAGGGCGGTGGGGAAGCCTAGTAGTTATAGCGTTCGTTCGTCACGTCGAAGGCCCATGTTCGATTCCCCACATGGGTACAATTTGTTAAGCCCATTTATCGTGTCCGCCGCCGTGATATTGTGGTAATATTGCTAAAAGCGGAGTAAAACCACACTCAACTCACAAGTTGACATCTATACATTCTTGAGATCACCTTTCATGTGTATCACCTTTTATGTATTTTTAAATGCCGTTCAAAGACTTTGTTTCTTAATAGTTTCATTATAACATCAGTATGCTTACCAATAACAGATATCTAGTCGCCCAAAGCGAAATCCCCTGAGGATGACGCTAATCCATCGCTAGCGCCTACGTTGGTTGAGGTCAGATTTAAGAGATTAACATTGTATGTTGCTCGTCCAATGATATTCAAAAGAGACTGATGTTCTTATCTTAAGAACTATGCCATGACGATACATGGTCCTTTGAACTGAGTGACACATTTGGCCAGCTTCATTCTTGGTCAATAAAACACAAACCGCCTTAGACGTTACACGGTTGGTGTGTCATTATAGTAGCTGCAAGGAATAGATGAGAAAAAGACATTTGCAGTTATGTGGTGTCCATGTACTACATGTGACCTTTCTCGAACGTAGTGATGTGGCGTGGTGTGTTCATCCTCCTGTGTTTTGAGGGAACAGGGGCAGCGTTCTTTGGAGACAGAGTGCAAGCAATCAAAGGTAGTATTTTTGTAACATGACTTTTTTTTCATACGTGGATGGATTCACACGTTTTATTGATGTCGATGAACATAACATTGTATATCTGGAAAGGATATGGGCTATAGATCACCAACTCCAAAGCTAGAACACCACACTGGGGACCATGGAGCCTTGCATAACTTTTTCTATCTACATGGTACACCGACTGTATTGATAACATCACACTACTGACAATTATTAGAGAGTTAAGAAAACATTAAAAACAGACAATAATATTACGATCAAAATCACGTAAGATGAAAAATACTTTGAATGAATTGAGACATACCCGAGTAAAGAAATGTTATTTCCTATCTAAACAATTAACAGTGTTGATATCGGATTTTCTTACACACCCGTGGGTGAGAAACCCATGTGAGAAACTGGTATCACACATATGTGTGAGATCGATTTCTAATCCCGTGATTGGCTACTCCATGGTGATGACCTAGGGTCAGGGTATGACGGACTACTTTCCTGATTAAAATTAATTGATAAGTTACTCGTGCTTCAATCGAACAAAAACCTGTTACTCGTGCAAAAAATACCCCTTTACACCTACCTGTTATTTTCGCGATTGCAACATAAACAGGTATTTATACAATGAGTCACAAGTAGAATAAATATAACACAAATCTATTTATTTTCTAATTCCTTTTATTAAAACTTTTGATTTCTAGTCATGAATTCAAAATGGTTCCAACAATCAGTGATGCCTGTGTAAACAATTATGTGAAAGTCACCGTTAGAGATAAAGCCCTTGATTCCCTTCGAATATTCAAAATGTACAAAACTGGTCCTTTTTCTGGAGAGATGCGACAAGTGTCATGTGTCGTCTTGCAAAAATACCTGACACGATAACGTCAGTGCCTGTCCATTGTGAGATCGATTTGCCTCGTTGTTTCTTTGATGCGTTGATGAAGATGACATTTTTCACTGATACACATGATGAAGACCCACTTCCAGCTCCGAGATACTATGTGATTCCAATGTTATCAAATTCACTCATGACAATCTGAACCAAAACACACTCGTTGAAACAATGTACAACATGGTACGTTTTGCAAGGCTTCATGAGTACAAATGGCGGCACACGTGCTTTCTATTCAATCGAACTTGTACAGGAACGGTTGATCTACACATAAGTCATTGCTCAAGATATTCCTCCTACGCATGATAATGAAAAGTTTATGTCTTGATAACTTACAGGATGTAATCAACTCACATTTCATACTGAAAACTCCGTAAATTCCATTACATTCAAGTGGCAGTTTCTGGCTCGGGAAAACGAGAAGGATGTGGCGAAGAAGAGTAGTCCCCCATTGACAGTGAACGTAACCTCAGCAATGTCACATTCAAGCACACTGGGTGCACCTAATTACACACACTCAGTAGTTTTGGCTCCGGTCGATGGGAGAACATTGAACGTAAACTGGTACACAAGTACCAGTTCCCCAATGTGCAGAGATATCCAAAACAATCTTCCGATGACGACAACCACCAAGCGATAACGATGACGTCACTCGCTCAAATATTTTACGCTTGCAAGAATTAGAATCATCCACATTTGCACGGTAACATCATTGTTTTAGAGGGTTTAATTAATTTTCTGTGATCTGATCTAGTTATCATTATCACTATTGCCTTGATGATGCGAAGAG